TCCATAAAGTTGGGTGATCAATACTCCGTGCTGGTGATCATAAATGGTGAGGGCTGGTAATATGAGTGCACTCACCAGAATCGCACAAGATATGCGCATATATAAAAGTATCTAACAATGGTCATCAGGGTCTGGGCAGGGGCTGTGGGGTCATCAGGCACATCCCAGGCACACAGGATAACTCCACTCCCTCACAGGGCACACTCAGCTCCTAGGGACAGCTCACCGTTGTCATCAGACCATCCTACCAGGAATACCACAGGGACAGCTCCACATAGGTATCGGACCACCAGGACAGAAGCATCAGAGTTTGGGGGATATCTCCACCTTAGGGGCTCGAACAATATGAGCCAGAGACAAATAGGTGCTAATAGTGTAGTATTTCTTTATTAGAGTAGCAGTACTCTAGAGTGCACCAGCATGTTATCCCTTTGATAACGTGCTGGTGCACGAAACGCATCAGAAAGGAGCCTACCATAGTGACGTCACGCCGCACACGGCCATCAGGAAAGCTGGCGGCCATCCTGAGCAGTGTGCTCAAGCTGAAAGGAAGATTGTTTGTAACATTGACCCACTAACAGAGTGAAAATTGGCCGATTATTCTTAGGTCCAATTTTCGACCCATGTATGGCCGGCCTTAGCGTCTTACCTGCATTAAATTAGCCTCAGAAACGGTGTAATGTGTTCGGTTTTAAAGGGATGAGGTGTCAACTCTACGCGACCCAGGCGGTAACATAGATGTGAACCTAACTATAACGGCACTCAAGACACGGGCAGCACGCCTGTATTTTGTTTCACGTTCCTGCGTGAAAGACCTGGAATAACCCCGAGTACAAAACGCGCTTGGCTCTGTGACAAGATTTTTGATCTACTTTGGCGAGTTTATTGCGCGTGGAGATGCCATGGACTTCGCTATTCTGGCAGGCAGCAAAAAAACACGCCAACTAAAGCAACGTGTCACACAGACACAACTGAGACCTTCTCAAGTTCTAAAGGTGGGAGGTGACACAAGCTCACGCCTCTCTGCTATTGGACGACCACGTTTATGGACTAACCTATGGCGTGTGAGGACAGAGCAGCAATTATTCCCCACACAGTGCTGGAGGAGGTGACTGCAAGGCCGGACACGTCAGGGTTAAGCATGAAGAACTTTAGCCTGTAAAAATGATCCGGCACATGCGCCGTAGCTGCAGGGATACCAATTTTACGGGCTACAGAGCTTCATGCATACTATAACCGTCCAATAGAGAAGACCCGAGAGCGTGGTGACTTCCGTGTAGAAGAGGCGGCGTGCCTCGGCGACTTAGTGGCGGGCGGTACGGCTTGTGTTCTCTCCAGGAAGGTCACCGGGCTCAAACTACCACACAGACTATACGTTCTTTTATACCCCCCGACGCCTGCGTGTGCCGTCTTGACACTCAGTGTTTGCGTTCCAGGCTGGAGCGCAGCAAGCGGCGCGTGTGGACGTAGGGGAGGGGCCTCTCCCCTGGGTGGGCGTCGGGTGAGGGGGGCGGCCTCGGGGGGCATAGGGGATTTAAACGAGCGGTGGGAACGTTTGTTGTCTATGGTGGTGTGAGTCCGGTCATCTTCCTACAGGGCGCTTCCGGGTGGCTGGTGTCCCTTTGTTGTTACTCCTCTGGTATCGTTCGTTATTGCAGGTTTGTTAGGGATGAGCCGTGTCCTGTGTGTTCTCCAGCACTGCTGTATCGGCAGCATTTGTTTTATGTGCAATATCCCAAGTCTTCTGTTCTAGGCTCCTGCGTTTTCCTCGGACTACACGTGACTCCATAGGGCCAGCCCTGGTCAGGTATGCTGTGTCCTGAGAGACATGTGCTTCACCTATCGGCCAAGTCTGTCGAGGGTCTGGGCTGTGTCCATGAAGGGATGCTCAGGCGTCCCATACTGGCACTCCCATTCATCTCTGTTGGGAGCAGTGGTTGGTGGATGTGCATGGGCGCTACTACTGACCTGCCAGCATGTAGACAGTGTGGATTCAGGGAGTGACCCCCTCCCACAGTAATGTTATATTGGGAGCAGTGGTTGGTGGATATACATGGGCGTTACTACTGACCTGCCAGCATGTAGACAGTGTGGATTCAGGGAGTGACCCCCCCACAGTAATGTTATATTGGGAGCAGTGGTTGGTGGATGTGCATGGGCGCTACTACTGACCTGCCAGCATGTAGACAGTGTGAGTTCAGGGAGTGACCCCCTCCCACAGTAATGTTATATTGGGAGCAGTGGTTGGTGGATATACATGGGTGCTACTACTGACCTGCCAGCATGTAGACAGTGTGAGTTCAGGGAGTGACCCCACATACAGTAATGTTATATTGGGAGCAGTGGTTGGTGGATGTACAAGGGTGCTACTCCTGATCTGCCAGCATGCAGATTGTGTGAGTTCAGGGAGTAGATCCCCCTACCCACAGTGATGTTATATGTGGATGCAGTAGGGTGCTACTCTTGATCTGCCAGCATGCAGACAGTGTGAGTTCAGGGAGTGGACCCCCCTTACCCACAGTGATGATATATGGAGATGCAGTGGTTGGTGGATGCACAAGGGTGCTACTCATGATCTGCCAGCATGTAGACAGTGTGAGTTCAGGGAGTGACTACCCTCCCTCCCACAGTGATGTTCTATTAGGAGCAGCAGTTGTCTGTGCTGGTGTGTCCCCATAGACCTCAATGGCATACCCTGTATGGAACACCTATACAACCTTGTGCTAGTAAACCTGGCCTGCCATGGTTGTATTATTTGGTACACTCTGTGAATGAGGCCTAACGCACCATTGCCTGTTTAAAGCTGAGCATACACTAGTAGAATTTCAGCTGAAAATTCTCAGTACATTAAAATCTTTGAAAATCAAGATTTTATTTGATTTTAGAATGGACTTTACTGAATGAAAACCACATTCACTGTTAGAAATGTGTACATTTTTGAGGTGGTTTTTTTTTTTTTTTTTTTTTTTTTTTTTTTTTTTTTTTTTTTTTTTTGTCCTGTGCATTCTAATTTTCTCATCACTTCAGTGAAAAAACATGCATCAGTTTGACGCATTAATGATTAGAGGAACAAACATTCTTCCAGTGTTCTTAAAAAAGATCTAAGGCCCCTTTCACACAAGGGGCCCTGACTGGACTCTCCGTTGTCATCCATGAACATGTCTGTGTACACCTGCCTACTGTTTAAGCAGGCAGGGATCCGTTTCCCCTCCGTAGGGAATCGGTGGCAGTTGCGTGTATACAGACATGCGGTTCATTTACATCCAACGGTCAGTAGAGGAGAGTAGGCTGTGCCATGTCTGCTCAGCGTAAGTGGAGTGGGTATGGACCAGCTATCCGCCTGATCAAAGGAAAGGTTGCCCCACTGAGAAAGTGGACTCCCATTGAAGTCTGCCCTGTGTAGAAGGGGCCTAAAATAATTGTAAAAGATTGTGTGGGGTTTTTTGGTGCCTACTTTGCACAGATCAGCCCCGATCTTCCTCTTCTCAGGTTCCCGCCAGCCCTCCTGGCTCCCCCCACCACCACGTGCCATCGTATCTAGATGCTTGCTATGGGCACACACATGTCCCAAGCTGGCTCTGTATGGTGCATAAGACACACAAGAGTACGGCATAGGCCCCCTCTCCCTCCTCGCTGCTGTGACTGACAGCAAATGGCTCTTGCTGCTGTGTCTGAGCCAGTGAGGAGGGAGAGAGCCCACACAGCAACTTCATTCACAGTTCTCTAAATGAATGGACTATGGGCCGGAAGTATTTGGCTTTCTCATACAGGATGCAAGAGCAAGCACATACATTGACAGTCTGCAGAAGACCTGCATGGCTGATTGCTGGTGCAATGCTTTACAGGCGCCTAAACTAAAAATAATGCACATTTTAGTTGCCAAAAAAGTGCATTTCTTTTTTGTGTAAAGGTTAACTTATCCTTTTTTAAAATTTCAAACATCTTTTGAATGACCAACAGTTCTGGGAATTTATGTTAAAATTTTTAAATGTATAATTTTGAAGGGGGGGGGGGGGGGGTGGAGAGTGTATTTAGTTAGTATTTTTTTCCTTTTTTCTATCGGTATATCTGAAATCTTATTGAAGTAAGCTCACTCATCTTATATATTTTTGTTTGTTTTTGGATTCTAGGTAGTTTAGAGGAAAGATGTTTTAACCTAGGTACCCTCCCATAGGCCACAGCAGCCATGTGATCCTGAGTGGTACTCGTGGGGTTGTCAATTCTTTTAGCACATTCTTGCTCCTCTGTTTTAAGCTTCGTTCACACGGGTTGAATATCAGCCAATTCAATAAAAGCTGGCTGACATTCGGACCGTTTGTGCATCCACCTGTCTGACAGAAGCCAGCCAAACAGCTGGCTTCTGTTGCTGTGGCGTGCCAGAAAACCAGCATCTGATCAGTGGCTGCAAATGCCTGCAAGCATTGCAGCTGCAATCAGTGGATCACAAGTGCAATGCCAGTCTCCTGCAGACTCTTCATCTTCCTGTCCATACAGAGGTACAATTGCTCAGTTTACTGAGCAGGAGTAAGTGCCAATAGACTGTGTAGTAATTACTGCACTTGTGTTCCATTCAAGTCTGTCTGTTGAAGTTGGGACTTTTAGTTCATTCACTGATCTATGTGAATGAATGATACGGTTATGTGGGCAGAGCTCCACACAGCCATGTGAAAGTGACAGCTGCTACACAGACCCCTGCACCCTGTCAGTCAGCTTGCAACAATGTTACGTGATGCACATTAAACATTGGTGTTAAAGATGGACTTGGGCTTTTGGACATCTTGCATTAAAGTTCTGGTGAAAAGTCTTTTTTAGTGATTTTGATAATGTATAGACCAGACAGTAATGGTGGGCATCAAATGGGATACTTTGTCTTGCACTCCTGAGCTGAATGGTTCTATGTACATAACCTTTAGAAAAAAAAAAAGTTTGTCTAAAGTGTTTGCTTTTTTATTTATTTATTTTTTTTTTATTCCCCCACTGCTCAAGCAGGAATTGTCAGAATGCCCAGACACACCGGTTTAACTCTTGGCGTTGCATCCCTGGTGGGTACTACAGTAGGCTGTCTCGTTCTTTGGAAGCTTCTCAATCGCCGGAGACAACAGTGTTGTGTTGGAGATGTCAAAGACTCTTGTGCTGTGCTGAGCCATGAGACCTCAAGCTCAGATAGTCTTCAGAAGCCTTCAGAAGTAGAGGTCTCTAGCACTTCTGCAGTAGAGAAGATCCTACAGGCAGAAATCCAGATAGTATCTGCAGCTAAAGAATGGGAAGCTGTTTGGCCACTGCTAAAGAAGGATCTTGATGTATTCCCGGTACTTGGCATGGATTGTGAGTGGGTATGTCTGTTCACTGTAATGGGTTGATAAATGACCATATACAATTTTGCCTGTGAGCCTGTTGGAAAGTTGTAGAACCTTATTAACCTTGAATAGCAGGCATATTCTGCTGCCTGCAGAGTGCCCGGGTACCCTAAAATTCAGAATGCTATTGCAAACCATGTTCTGTGGTCAGTGCTCTGGCCTCACTCAACCCTGCTTTTGTTATGGACTCCTGTACCTGGTCATCACATGATGGACCATGTGTGAAGGGTGTCCCCCCCCCCCCCCCCCCCCCCCCCCCCCCCTAATCTGGCAGAAAGTGTCATATAGTTGGACACAGGCACAATTGTAATATTTTTGGCTCTGTATGCCACCAGAATAAATTAAAACAAAATAATCCAAATGAATATGAAGTGCAGACTTTCAGCTTTAATTCAAGGGGCTGAACATAAATATCCAGTACAAAATTTTAGGACTTGGAGCCATTTTTATACAGTCCCTCCATTTTCAGGGGCTCAAATGTAATTGTACAAATGAATATAATTCTAAATAAAATATTCAATTTTAATATTTTGTTGAGAATTCTGATTCATTTCATTGCAGAATATTCCACTTTTCCTTCAAATGCTCCTGGGTTGCTTTTGAAGTGTTTTGGATCATTGTCCATCTGTACTGTGAAGCGCTGTACAATCAACTTTGCTGCATTTTGAGTCTGAGCTGATGGTATGTCTCTAAACACAGCGCCAGTGCCACTGGAAGCCATGCCATCACACTGCCCCCACAATGTTTTACAGATGACAGTGTGTGCTTTGGCTCATGAGCTGTTCCAAGCCTTCTCCACACTTTTCTTCCTGTTATTCTGGTACAGATTAATCTTCATTTCATGTGTCCAAAGAATGCTTTTCCAGAACTGGTCTGGCTTTTTTTTTTTTTTTTTTTTTGGGCAGTCTGGCTTTTATATTCTTCAGGCTTATGAATGATTTGTATGTTGTGGTGAACCCCCTGTATTTTCTTTCCTGCAGTCTTCTTTTGGTTGTAGACTTTGACAATGATACACCCACCTCCTGGAGAGTGTCCTTCACTTGTCTGGATGTTGTGAATGGGTTTTTCTTTACCATGGAGATGATCCTGCGATCATCCACCACTGTTGTCTTCTGTGGACGTCCGTGCCTTTTTATGTTGCTGAGCTCACCAGTGCGTTCTTTCCTTAATATACCAAACTGTTGATTTGGCCACTCCTAATGTTGCTATTTCTCTGGATTTGTTTAGTGTGGTTTTTTTTTTTTTTTCCCTTACAATGGCCTGTTTCACTTGCATGGACCGCTCCTTTTGAACACGTGATTTAGGTTCACAGCAATAGATTCCAAATGCAAATACAACACTTAGAATCAACTCCAGACCTTTTACCTGCTTAATTGATTAACAAATGGCGGAGTAACCCACACCTGGCCATGAAACGGCGTTTGAAAAAAAAAAAGGGGGGGGGGCGTGGCTACTCATAGGAGCCGTAATTCCTTAAACCTGAATGTGCACTTTCAGCCCATATCCATTTTATATAACTATAGGTTGACTATGTTTTGGTCAAAACTCGGGGGAGGGGGAGTGTGTGGGGTTTTTTTTTTTTTTTTTTTTTTTTTTTTTTTTTTGTGTCCAGTCACCTGTAGGTGGCAGCTTAACCTTGTCAAATCAAGAAGACACTCTGGGGTCAATTCAATAAAGGATTTTGCATGTGATATGAAAGTCATGTGACCCATTTTTCAGAAGTATTGCTTGAAATAAGTTATTTACCTCCCATTCAATATTTTACTTTGAATTTATCATGTATTTGTTAAAATTTGAGGATAAATGCCTCAAAGTTGGGTCAATGTAAAAAATAACAATGAGGGAAAATCTGCACTGGCCAGTGAGTTAAAAGTATACAATGTATCAGTGCGGAAATGTTCTCCTCTGATCACAGGAATAAAAAAACCCATTGTAATATTAAATCAGAGGGAGATTGTTCTGTGAATGAACAGTAGAACGTCTTTAATGTTTGGTTTTTTCTTTTTTTTTTGCAGGTGTCTGTAGATGGGAGAACAAATCCCATCTCCCTTCTACAGATGGCTTCCCACAGTGGCTTTTGTGTCCTGGTTCGCTTGCCCCGATTGATCAGTGCTGGCAGCACCATTCCAAAGACTCTCCTCACACTTCTGGCTGACTGTGACGTGCTGAAGGTTGGAGTAGGTTGTAGGGAAGATGCATCCAAACTAATGAGCGATTATAGCCTGTCAGTGAAAGGAATAGTTGATATCCGCTACTTGGCAATGAGACAGAGGTAAGGATTTCAGGTTGTTGAAGGTATTGTGTATGTGTGGTGATCAAATACTACCGAAAGAAAGCTCTGTTTGTGGGGAAAAAAGATGTAAATTTCATTTGGGTGCAGTGTTGCATGACCACGCAATTGTCAAAGTAACGCAGCGCCGTAACACAAATGGCCTAGTCAGGTGGGGGATAATCCTCTGGGGCAAGTGGTTAAAATTGCTATTCTCAGGTTTGTACAGTAACAGATGGCAATAAAACTTCCTGAACTGTTACGGAGGGCAGCGTTTGGACTTTTCGTTCTGTTTGGGGAAAGCCTGCATTGAAAGTCAGCCTTGTGTCCTTGGGGTTCCCAGGTGCTTGCCGGCTGAAGCTAAAATGGCTTTTCCCTAATGAAGAAACCACTGCAAGAATGGATTCTCAGGAAAGCTGCAGCTCAGACAGGCACTAAATTAAATCACATAACTGGTCAGGTAGTTGGTTTCTTGTTTGGTAATTTTTTGGCATACATTCTCTGAAGTCTGTGTGGCATGTGACCTCCTGGGTTTTTGTTTGGGCTCGTATCATGGCTTAGGTTGACCCATTTCTCCCATCTGCACAGTAGTATGTTGTGGTTTAGAGGCATTTCATTCACCTGTTGGACCTGAATTCAGTTTTCATAGGTCAAAGCCCCAAAATATCCCATCTCGCATGTCAGAGCTGGAAAAAGTTGCTTTGGATTATTGCAGGACTCTTAAGATGAGCAATTTTGGCAATTCTTACAATTTCACACCTAGGTGATATTTCTTTTTAAGTCTGCAGCTACCTATACTGCAGTTGCTGATCTTTTTTGAAACTGATACAAGTCTTTAGGAGTCCACCAGTATTCCTGCAGCTGATTCAGGTTGAACAGTCAGCCAAACAGTGATTGCATGCTCTCAGATGTCATCACTGTTCATGTATTCAGACAACTGCAGGTGTTGCTGCTTGAGTACAGCAGTTGGCAGTTCAGATTCCTTCTATCTGCACAGCTGAAAAAGATCCTACACACGTATGGCTAACCTAAGGACTGGTAACATGCAGTAAGTATTTGTTCTTGGATATAGATGGCTATAGATGGAAAGCATTTTGGCTGTTTCAGTAGGCACTGACCAAGATTTAGCTATGGCTAGGCTGGTTATATTGTTGCATCGCTTGACTTGAGTAAAACCTGTGTGCATGTGTGTTTTCTGCAACCTATGGTTGCAAAAAAGACAATCGCATTATCTACATTTTGCTGCAAAAATGGATGTATTCTGGCAAGGTTGTAAAATGCTTGGTACTTGACAACTATATAAACTTGCTCCTATATGCAGGTAATATTTCTTTGTTTGCCTGGAGGTTGGGTGTATATTTTTATTTATCCACTTTAATTTGAATTGTTACACTTTTTTTTTTTTTTTTTTTTTTTTTTTTTTTTCTTCCCTGTGCAGGAGAGACATTTTCCAGAATAGCCTAAGCCTTAAATCTCTGTCTGAGACTATTTTATGCTACTCTTTGGACAAGTCTTTTCAACTTCGATGCAGTAACTGGGATGCAGATGAATTCACACAGGATCAGGTGTGTCATATGCTGAGTTCACAAACTTATTTTGAATTATGCAAATTGCATTAATTTTGTGCTCAATCAGGAACATCCAGTCTAGACAGTATGATTAAATACTTCACTGCTCATGGCAAATGTATGTTTTCTAGGCAGTTCAGAACTTGTACTCCTCCCCCCACCCTTCCTGGTAAACGGCCAACAGGTGTAACTTTCCTGAATGGCATGACTGCTTTATTACTGTTGTGATGCTGTGTTTGGACCACCCACTCATGACAGTTAAAACTATTCCTTATAACAGTGAACTTAAAAATGGCAAAGTTTCTTAAAAAAAAAAAAAAAAAAAAAAAAACAGGACACAATTTCTTCTCCTCCTCCTCCTCCCCCTCCTCCCTCCTCCCTAAAAAATAAAAATTGGTGATTAAATACCACCAAAAGAGCTGTAATTGTGTGAAGAAAATGATAACTTAATTTGAGTCCAGTGTTGTGTGACTGAGCAACTGCTAATTAAAGTAGCACAGTGCTGAATAGCAAAATATGGCCTGGTCATGAAGGGGAGGGTGGTAAAATCTTCATCGAAATTATGTCGGTCCATCTATGTTGCAGCTTGGCCACTTGACTGTAGGCTGTAATAGAATGTCCTCAGCTTGCAGTGGTTATACTGGAATGATGTGTTCAGCTACAGGAATCATCAAAGTATCAGAATGTTCAGCTGGCGATTTTGAGCTTTTAGGCAGAAGTGATTTGAATGGCTGAACAGCCACTTGATCACTTCTGCTAGAGGGCCCCTCCTCCCACTGCTGCCTTGCCCAGGCACTCTTCTCTGATCTTGGAGAGCTGCGATCAGTGGTGATGGCTGCACAGAGGAACTGTTATCGTTCCTAAAGAGGACCTGTCATGGCCTATGCTGTCACAAGGGATACATGAAGGTAAAAACCCTAAGGCTTTAAAACCACTTGGACAGCCTGTTTTTACTGTTTGCTGACCAATTGGACAAAGACCGCTTTATAAAAAAAGGTACAACAGTCTGCATTCTACATCTGTCTTGTCTGGTTTAAATCTTAATGGGGTGGTGTTTGTTTACATCAGGGATTTTCACTAAAGGTCACTTCCTGCAAGTTTTTTTTTTTTTTTTTTTTTTATTTTTTTTTTTTTTTTCCTCCCATCTAGGTTTTCTATGCTGCCAGAGATGCCCAGGTGTCTGTAGCCCTATTCCTGCAGCTGCTTGGCTTTTTTTCTCGGAACTCTTTACCCTGCCTGGGCTTCTTTGCTGAGTAAATGCCAGGGTCTCATTGATGTTCCATTTAAAGGGAAAGGCATGTCAAATGGAGATGTTAATGGAGGACCAAGGCAGAAGAGAGAAGTCTTAATTGAACAATCTAGTCAAAATTCCCAAGGCCGAGATCCTCGGAGAAATAAGAAAAAGCCTCTGGGAGTGGGATACTCAGTGAGGTACTTAATGCTGTAAAATTGCAATACAAAATAATCACATCAAATAACATGCATAAGTGTACACACGAATATGTGCATCCTCTGCTGTACTGGTGCCAATAATAAACAAGTGTGATGGTGTCCACTCCAAATTAGGATAGCAAACTTTCTCAAAAATGGGTGCAACAGTCCTTTTCCAAAAAACTCCTCCACTGTGATGCAGAGTGAACACTGTGCTCCACCCCATATCCATATGAAATGGATGCTCACCTTCTAATAAGACCCTTATCATATAGGCCAAACTCTATAGAAAACTGGTTTCTAACGGGCTATCTCCTGTCTCTCCACTCAGGAATTCCTCCCACGATTACTTTTAGATGTTCTTGGTAATACATCTAACATGCTGTTGCGCACAATACATGCTCAGTAGAAGAAAAAAATCAGAAGGGACTGCCCATAGTGTAGTAATATGACACATTTTGCAAAATACATGCAAGCTCATCTGTTCCAGCACTATAGACTGGTCTCTGCCACGACTGGAAGTGACGTCACCCGGCTCCATCCTCCTGATGTGTTGCGTCACAAGTCACATGACTTCCTCAGGGATGAGGTCGGGTGACTGTCTCTAACATTAGAGGTTAGAGGCGGAAGTGTTTTTGTCTCTGCATTAACCACCAGTCAGTTAATGCTAGTCCATAGTGCTGTTCTTGTCGCTTAGCTTCTGCTTCTTGGCCGGCCAAGAAGCAGAAGCTGAACAGCAATCTGGAGCTGTCCGGGGATGAGAACTGCCAACATCTCTTCAGAGCTAAACTAGCAGTTCCATGAAGATCAGTTTCACTATAGAGCTAAAGATTGCAGGGCTCCAGGAAGTGAATGGGGGTAATGGAGTAATATAATCGTCATCCGAGGGGACCGACTACCTAACGTACAGCCATCCATCAGCATCCAGAGAGGGAGTTCCCTAAAGCTGACATCACCCGTCCATCCTTTTAAGGGATCTCTGGGCATCTGGATCCAGTATTCCTGATAACTCCACCATACCTAGAGGGAGGAGCATTCCCAGAGGGGGATTGTTTCCAGTACCTTAAGGGGACCTCTACATATAACTTTATACAATGCGTATTTACGTTACGCATCTGAGTGCATAATTCTACTATAACTTTGGAGCACCATCAGTTGGTTTTTGCTAGTCCCTATACACTTTGATCTAAGTTTGCTGGCACTTTACTTATCTATGGACATTTTAATAGTGTTTTCATTGTTTTAAGCGCTGCACCTATTTTATTTGATATACTACTTAAAAGGTGTGTTTTTTTTTTTTTTTTTTTTTTTTTTTTTTTTTAATTTGGTTACCTTTGGTGTGTTAGCTGCTACTTTTAAGAGTGCTCCCTTTACTTTTAGACTTTTACTATAACATATATACCTAATCGGATCCTTCTAATTAATGCTGGATATGTAGCTAAAACAAATACATACAAAATATAAAAAGGATCCTCACACTTTCAGGAGAAAATGAATTTAAATAACATAAAAATGTGTATGTAATGGTAGAAAACTATATAAAGACCCCTATTCAGGTGGACTATGAGGACATCCTAAGTCTATCAAGGTCAAGAGTGATCACAATGACCCTTTTTTAATCAGAAATGAAGCAGTTAATATCAAATTCATTATTCATTCCGGTTTTGGAACCAGAGCAAACGCACACCTCGATTCACTGACTAAGTACTTTCACCTTTTATTACTGCCTCTCCAGTGTCTCTATAACTATCCTCCAAATTGTAGGGCAGTCGGATCCTTATGAAACACTGGGTATATCCCTTTTTGTAATGTGGTGTGTGTGTGTGTGGGGGGGGGGGTTTTCTCTTGACTTTCCCCTTTAGTCTTTGTGCATGCAAAACATCTCCTACACAGGTAAAATCCTTTACCCTCAAATTATTTCTTGTGTTGGTGGATCTACCACGTTTTCACCACTTTACCCATAAAAGGGCACCTATGATAAGGGATAAAGTGGGGTCGTTCTGGTAGTATTTGGATCAGATGTTTATCCAGCCTTAAAATATCCCAATATTTCCTGAAGGGTGGTGTGGGTGTTTTTGTTTTGGGCCTTCCCCCAATCCCTTGAATGTGCAGCCAAAGCTATTCAAAATATCAAACGCCTAGTAAATTTTTTTTTTTTTTTTTTTTTTACAGGAAATCCCCATTGTACGACAACTGTTTTCTGCATGCTCCAGATGGACAGCCTCTCTGTACTTGTGACAGGAAAAAAGCCCAGTGGTATTTGGATAAAGGCATTGGTGGTGAGTTCTGGCTTTGTGTTTTGTTGTTTTGTAGAGAACTTATAGTGAGTGACATATGTAGAGTGCCATTGTGGACTTGCTTGGGTTAATGACTGTAAAAACTGACACATGGATTGGTTTGAAAAACTGGTAACTGGCTTTTAGAAGGTTGGCAGTGGCAGCCTAAGGTTATCCTGGTATTTTATTAACTCTATTATTTATTATATATTTTTTTCTTCCTTCTAGATTTGATAAGCATTGACCCATTTGTAGTGAGGCTGCGCTTTGAGCCTTCTGGTCGTCCAGAATCTAATGTGGACTATTATTTGACAGTGAAGGAGAATCTTTGTGTTGTATGTGGCAAAAGGGAGTCTTATATCAGGTGAGCGAGAAGCCTTTGTAGGGATGTGATTGTACAGTGTGTATATATACTTGAGGTGTTCATTATTACTAATACAAGAGTGATGTTTAGACTGGTCATGTTACTAGTGAGTGGTCACATTTTGAGGTACTACGGTTTTGTCAATACTGCAAATTAAGGTTCTGTGTATAAACATTTGGGTGTAGCTCTTATCCTAAAGATATTGTACTCCCCTCAATGGGAGTGTATTCCTATATGCTGGGTTAAGATCCCTGAAACACCAAGAAACATTCACGTACTACACGATGCCTTCCTCCTTCCTAGAACTGAGGAAATGAATGCAATGATCCTTGGGAGTCCTAGCGTCCTACAGAGCGCCCTCTTGTGAAGTGTGGGTATGGCAGAAAAACATCAGATAACAAGGATCTCCTCAGCTGATTCCAGAGTGAGTGGATGGAAATAAAATTCCTCCCTCCTGTCAAAGATGTGAAGTGGTAAATAACTATTTGAATTGGGTGCTACAGTACACCTCCCCCAAAGTATAGAATGTCTTGCAAAATATGGTGCAACTAAATCATATTAAAATATATAGTGCTATAATACACCTCCCCTATTTAGGAATATTGGATACAAATATATACAATGAAAATTTTAAGCAAGTAAATGGTCCATGCATAGGTCAATTTCAAAAGCATGTGCATATATATATATATATATATATATATATATATATATATATATATATATATATATATATATATATATATATATTATAGTCAATAATACACATCTTATGCTTTAGTGCGCTGTGAGTGATTAACAGGATTGGCACTTCCACACATGCTTTCCGCCCTTCCTTTTCCACCGCACTCACCATAAAGTTATACCCCCGCCCCTATTTCCAGTGGGTCCCATACACTGGTTAACTCTCCACTCTGCTACGTATGCACTAGATAGCCCCTCCAATATAAGAATCGCTGATCTTCCATGTGCCAGACCATGAAGGTGTATGCCAGGACTTTGTGTTGGTACCGGACCGCAGGGAATAGGTTCTGTGTAGGCAACATGCAGAAAGGTTTCTTGGCCACAGAAGTAGAATTGATCTGCACGTGTATGGTATTGGTTCTACTAATCTACTGTAGATTTATTGTGTGTAAGTGTAACCATGGCAGACACTTCTGACTCAGATGATTAATCTGTAGAAGAAGGCACTTGTGCTACAGTGTTGCCTAAAAAAAAAAAAAAAAAAAAAAAAAACTGTTTTTTGTTGCCTAATAGAGGAGATCTGCACGTGTTTTAAGATTTTGAGGGATCTGGGAACAGCCTTTGCATGCATTTCCTGTTCATTCCTTAGTCAAGGATGTCTTGTATGAAGATTGGAAATGCCTGGAAAAAGCTTGCTTTCTCCTGTGCTTTTGCAGAGCAATATCCCACTGATGAGGAATTCTCACACAAATGGGGTGTTCCAAGGTATGTCTCAATAAAACTGGCTGTTCTGGTTGAGGACTTGCCTACTTTCTGGTTCCCTGTCTTAGGACCTGCTCAAGGCTTACTATTCCTATCTGGACTGATTGCCTAACCAATTGGGGTTGCAAAGACTGTTTTGGGGTTTAACACAGTCAACTGGCTAGGAACCCAAGAGATTGCTCCAAGAGACCTATTTCCAACAGGCTTTTACTATGGCGGGGATAGAATGAGATTGTATGTTGTAATTCTGTCTGTGCTAATTCAGAGAATCCTCTGGCTAAAGTGTTTGTCTGCTGAACCAACCTGCAAGACAACATTGGAAAGGATGCCATTTTGAGGGCAAATGCTTTGGTGAGTCTTTTTGATGCTTGCATTGAAAAGGTGACAGGCAGAAAGTACAATTCTGCCCATTTAGATGAGTCTCTACCAATGAGTCAGGTCCCTTGCCTTTGAGGCAGTCAACATTCATTCCTTCCAGACAGCTACATCCAGAATTAGTCTTGGTTGTCCAGGTCTCCAGTCCACTTCACAGTGAAGGGGTGTTTGCGGGCATTTTCTGGTCTTTGCAGAACAGAGGATAAAAACTCTGTACCCTGAAGATCTCGTGTGTGCATGCGTGTGTTTCTCATTGTAAACCAGCACCCTTTTTTTTTTTTTTTTTTTTTTTTTTTTTTATCCTAAGGTATTCTTTCACCTGTTTTTTTTTTAAATGTTGAGGTGTGATGTCTGTGGTGGTCATTCGATTGTTATACCCAGTAATATATTGATCGTAATGAATGCTTGTTGCTATGGACATCAGAATGATTCCTACCCCTCCCAGCATGCACTAGGTTGCCTTATGGCTATGGCCACACTGCGTAAAATATTAAGGTTTTGCCACTTTAGCATGACCGTATTATACATTGCATTTTAATCTTCGCCTAGCCAGTATCAGACCAGTCCATTTTTTGAATATTAATTATGCCATATTGCTCTGTGCAGGAAGAACATTGTACCGCATGAATACAGACGTCACTTCCCAATTCAGATGAAGGACCACAACTCTCATGATGTGTTGCTTCTGTGCACAGCTTGTCATGCAGTGTCCAACTACTATGATAGTAACTTGAAACAACAACTGGCAGTGGAATTCTGTGCTCCTATAGGTTGTGAGGAAGGGGTTCGCATGCTAGAAGATACCACAAGAAGGCAAGTGCGTTCAGCGGCAAGAGCCTTACTCAACGCTTCCAGGCTGCCAGAACACCGCAAAAAGGAGCTTTTAGCGGAGATCAAAGGATTTTATTGTATAGAGGAGGTCACTGAAGAAACTCTTAAAGAAACTGCAAATTTGGAGACTAGGTAAGGGCAGGTGACATACAGGAAATGTTTGCGGGAGGGCTTGTGTGAAATTCACATGTTACACAAAAGCAGGTCTGTATATTTGTACATTCTGATTTGCAAAAACTAAATTTTTATTATGGTTCCTTACCTGCAATGGCATGCTGGTAACAAATGTAGATCTAAAACAATAGGTCATTCAGACAGTAATGCTAGCCATGCATGCATAGATTTTCCTTGTTCAGTCCATTATTTTTTGGCTTCCAGATGTGTTCATCAGGAATCAATTCAATCGGCACATTTGTGTGTGTGTGTGTGTTGCACGTTTGTAAATGTGCAGGATTGTGTGGATTAGTTATGGCCTGCCCATTGTAGGTATTGGACTTTACCATCAAAGGGTTTCATCAGATCTGTGCTTCGGCTCTGTAATGTAAAGAAGAACTCGAGGATAGGTGCAATATCACCCATTAGTTACCCTTCCCCAAACCAGTTATGAAAATCCTTACCATTTAGTAGGTGTGTGGGGTGGTTGCCCCTCCCCCCATGACCATCTCGAATTCAAAAAATAACAGTATCTGCTCTGCCAAAGAGGCGGTGTAACAGCAGGGATTACACCATATCATCTCTTTACTCTCCTGTAAAAGGAAACTACAGTTCCCATCCACCATAGGGAATTTTAGTGAATGGGTGGGTACTCTAGGCCTGTACATGGTTGAGTCTGAGAATCCCAGTCTGCCCACCACTGCAAGTGGGACTGAATTACCTCCTTTCTGTAGTTCATTCTCCAGGAAGCAGTGATGTGTCAAGACCAGTGGTTAGGGCAATTGGAGGCATAGCAGCCACTGGTCTTACAAAACAGGAAACCAATGAGACTTAATTTGAAAATGAATAGACTATTTCAGAGCAACTACTGAGTGATCCAGAAGGTGGATGACATGTATTCAGTGAAGGTAGGAAATTGGGCAAAAACGTTGTGTGTCTGCTGGAGTTCTGCTTTTAAGAGACAGGCAGCAGCTAGTGTTAAATAATTGACATAGTGAAATTGATGGTGTCTCTTCTGTTTTTCTGTTAACTAGCAAAGGCGTGGTGAGCAACTAATCATTTTTTTTTTTTTTTTTTTTTTTTTTTTTTCCTGGCAGAATCTGTAACGAAACTTATATCCCGCATGGATTAAAAGTGGTGCAATGCTTTGCAACAGGAGGACTCAAATCTTTAATGGAGCTTGAAAAACGCTGGCGCCAGCACTTCTTGGACACTATGCAACCCAAATTTCTTCCCCAGCAGTGGTCTGTTGACCATAACCACAGCAAACTGATTAGGAAATATGGTGAAGACTTGCCCATCAAGCTGGCCTAGAACAGATAGAAGTCCTGACAAGACTGTTATCTGAAGGGCTGCTAAGACTGCTATAACTGAACCTTTTTACTAGAACGGTTTATACACTAGGAGCTGGCAACCATTGGTGCTCTTTACTGTTCAGCACAAACATTTTACTTTTTTTTTTTTTTTTTTTTTTTTTTTTTTTTTTTTTTTTTTTTATGAATGGCTTTGTTCATTTAATAATTGCAGTACTGAATTTCCAGAGTGCCAATGCCTAGTTGGGTAACCTATCCCAGTTTTGTGGGGTTAAGTTATTTTTTTAAAACTTGCTAATTTAAAATATTTATTAACAATTATCAGTTTGGCCTTTAAAAGCAACAAATAAGTGTTTTACCATTTGTCACTGAGATTCAGCTTGTGTTCTCAGTGCAGCTTTTTGTTTGTCCAAAAAGGTGTGAATTTTTTTCCAGCCTGCTGCTATCTGCTGTAATTGAAGTGTTGTGCTGACTTGCTGTATAGAAATCTACTTTGTAGATGGTTAAAAAGATGCCTGAACTGTAAATGCATCAGCCTGCACTCAACGCAAGTGCATTGCCTCCCCAGTTACTGTTTATAGTGTTTGTTGACTGGTCTTGCTAAACGGTGCAAAGCATATGACTGGAAAGATTTTTGTAAAGACATGCTCAGCACGGTACGTGGCAAAGTAAACCAGCACACTAGGCCGGCTGCTAACATTGGGAGGACTGAACAGTTCTAGTGAGTGCAGCCTGATGTGTATATGTAGCTCTGGCAGCTTCTTAATGTAAGTCAAACACTGGTTCTCTATCAAGCAGCTCAGCGTTTCATTTTGTGCATGGGCTTCTGTAAGTGATACAAAACTTAGCCCGTGTACTAGCCAGTAGCATGGTCCTGTTTATAAATATCAACTAGAAGGTTCATGCACAGAGCCAAACGTTGGCAGAAAAAATTGACACTTGTGTTTTGTCATAGTGCCTGACATTTTCATGTTGTTGTTGTTTTCCCTACCCCATGACAACCTGGTTTTTGTCCTAAAGACTTCCACTTTTGTATCATGTATGTGACTCCAGCGAATGGGGGTTATACTTGTATAAATTATAAATTACAGCCTTTGTTTTATTCGCCTGATCTTTATATCTTTAAATATCATTTAAAAAGCATAAATTGTTTAATATTGACCCTTGTCTTTGTATTTTCTTTCAAGTAGTATAACCTGTGCCAGGGGTATTGACTTAAAATGTATGGAGGTCTGATTTTTTTTTTTTTAGTAAATTTTTCTTCAGCAGAGGTCTGAATCGCACGTTTTGTGCATCCCATGTTTGTGCAGTGTCTTGACCCCCTCAATAATAATAATATTTATTATTAATTTTTTATTTGCATTTTTGTCACTTTTTGCATTAAATTTCCCCTTTCACATTTTAGTGTCCACTGCCTCGCTTCCCACACCCGAACCCCCCCCCCCCCCCACCGCACTTGTCTCCTCTTTTTTTTACAGCACTGCCCCTTCAGACCTCCCCCTACCACAGCACTTGCCTCCACTTTACATTTCTCTCACTGACAGTTCTTGCTCCCCTTTTTTTGCATCTTCCCTCGAACAGCACTGCCTTCCTTCACATCACATATCCCCACCAGCACTTACCCTCCCCTTCATATCAGGGACAGCAGCACTGCTACCTTTCACCCCTTTCACATCACCCTTTCAACGCAATGTGATTTTTGCCCCCTTCACATCTGCCCTCCCTTCAAAACACACACACATACACACACACCTCTTAGAATCCTCTTTTGTACATGTAGAACTACTAGAATACCTTCCGAGCTTGTTGAACCTGCAGGCAGTCCAAGCTGACTGATAACAGTTGGCTTTGGTTGTTCTTACCCTCTGGTCACTGACTTGACAAAGTATGCAGAACAAAGGCAGTCCTTGCCTTCCTTCATATTGAGGTCCTGCGATGTGGTAGAAAGGTTGGTATACAGCCAGGTATCACTTCTGAGAGAAGTGGAAAATGGCAGAACTATATTCTACAGGGCCTCTGCTTTCAGAAAAAATAAAGGTGATGGCTGCAAATTTTTATGTCGCATGATATTTTTGTAACCAATGCAAATTCAGGAAAATTTTTATTTTAGTGCAAATGCACAATAAAATAACCAATTTTTGGTAAAAGAGGAGGTTGCATTGAGTAAATGGATACCAAATGTGCCATGTCCTAAAATTGTGTGCCCATGATATCGGGGTGGAGTGAACTATGGTGCCCAAAAATCACCAAAGAGGACACTTTAACAGCCTTTACAGCTCATCTGTTTAGAGTTAACTAGGAGCTCTTGTGCTAGAAATGGTGTTCTTGTACTGATGTTTGTGGCATCATGTCACATGTGGTGCAACCATGGGTTACATATGCATTCGCACCCTGGGCATGCATTTGCGCATGTGTGGGACAACTGATTAGTATTTTTTTTAATACATTTTTTATTTTATATTAAACTTTACTTGCTTCCACAAGGGGTTAATAAACCCACTTATGATTGCATTGGGCAGGTAATTTTTTTTTTTTTTTTTTTTAATGGGGGGGGGGGGTTCATTTACTAAAGGTGGAGAGTGAAAAAATCCAGGCTCACTGTTGCATAGAAACTAATCTGCTTCTAATGTTAGTTTGTTCAATTAAGCTTTGGCAAAACCTGGAAGCTGATTGGTTGCTATGCAGAGGTGAGCCTGACTTTTTTTTGCTCTCTAGATTTAGTAAAATAAACCCCTAGGTGTCTAATAGACATTGATATCTCCCCTGATTTTTGCTGAATCTAACCACAAATAGACCAGCTTGGTTAGATGTGTCCCCTGGCTGATCCAGCCCGGAAATGGTGGATCTGAAACCAGAAGTGACTAAATCATTATCACGCTGGGTTTTGTTTTTTACATGCAAGAGCAAGGCATGGATTTGCCTTGGTATCGCTCTCCCTCCCCTAGCCAGTGTTTTGTCGTCTTGGACTCTCAGTGAGAGCCTGGGAACCATGGACACCAGCGCCAACTCTGAAAGTGATTGGACTATGGAGCTGTTGTGACAATTTCCACTTTCAAGCCAGGAGCTGGCTAATTGCAAGCAGAACAAAAGGCAAAATGAGATGCAGTCATCAAAGGTTCACTGTTTGGATTTACTAAGTACATCCAAAGAGCTGCACAAGTGAGTTCAGCAGTTCTAGTGACCCTGTCACAAGGCATCTTTCATGAAACCAAAAATTAGAGTGTTCCACACATTCAGGAGAGAGGCATGTTCTAGAACAATGCAGTCTTTTTATACAGATAAAAATCTCATTGAGTGCTCCAGGAGAGTTAACATGGTTTTTGGAGATCTGTGTCAGGGCTAATATTTGCATGTAACCCACTATGGGTATAGTTCCAACATTTTCCACAAACTGGACATGCTTTGTTTTTCACAACATTTGTGCAGAAGACTCGCTTTTTGGACGTTGCTGGTAATCTACCTCACATGTTACCTTGTCCAGCCAAGCATACGAGAGTAACTCTAGTTAAAGCTTTTGTGTTTTTTTTTTTTTTTTGTTTTTTTTTATACACATTTGATATACTAAGCCATGTTGGTATTTGTAAAAGATGTGTGGGTAAGTTTAACGCCTTTAGTGATTTAAGAGTAAAACAAATCTTAACACACAATTTTGCAGTGTTTGTGTTCGTAAAGCCATGTGTATCATCATGGCAACTACTGAGTGTATCTAGGTGGATTATACCATGGATCCGTCCAAACCAACACTGTAAAATGAATTGTAATTTTTGGACTACAATGCCCTTTCCACATCAATTATACAGTTGTTGGTGAATTTAGTAAGGCTTGGTGAACTTATCGAAGTGCTCAATCCAGTGACTCATCTTGTGCTAAGCAGGTCATAATGTGCTTGGGGTGAAGCCTTTACAGTGCTTAGTATTCCAATGTTATGTGGGTGAAAAATCCTTCACTCCAATGTTCTCTTCCGTTTTGGAATGGAATCTTTCATACCACCTCCACTCGGATCCTGTAATGTGACATTTAACCAATTCCAGTCTGGACACTTTTACCCCCTTCCCGTCCATGTCAACTTTCAGTGCTATCATACTTTGAATGACAATTGCACGGTCATGCTACACTGTACCATATGAATTTTTTTTTTTTGCTTCTGTAGTGTGATTTTATTTATTGTTTAAAAACAAAAGTATTGTAGTTACAGCATAATGAAGCAATGGCACTGTAAGAGGCTGTGTCTTCTGGAACTCTGCCATATGCCATGGCTAGAGTTCAATAAACTGGAAGTGACGCAACTAGCTCTCCTTGTAAGACTAAGAACCAATAGTGTGCATTTTACTTTTTAACCTACCTCAAACACACTGATACTACTTAAAAAAAAAAAAAACAAAAAAAAACAAAAACAAACACAAACAACACCTCTTTCCTACATTCTCCTTGTTAGTATGGGACCTGGGCATTCTGGTGACAGCCCATGCTCCCACCACAGACATAAGTATGTATATATGCATCTCCAGGGGGGTGGGAGCCCAGTTCTGTGGTTAAAGTATATGTAAACCCTTATAAAACTAATTCAGTTTAAAATAGAAATGAATGGCAAAACATGCTTCTGAAACCACTAAGTACAATAAATATATAATTCCCTTTTTTTTTTTTTTGGTGGACAAGTACATTTGCAGACACATCAGAAATATGAATTGTAGGGTTTGCATATTCTTCCAGGGCTTGTTCACACTTTCTTAAAAAATATAGCATTGGACATGCTGCTTCCCTTGGTGTTTTTGCAGGTATGAGGTATCCTAGCATGTACTGGGACACTAACAAGCAAATAATCTGGGAGCTTCTGGTGTAGATGTCGCAGCTGGTGTGCAGCAGCCGGACGTTGAGCAGGGTCTGGACTGGAGCAGAGCAGCTAGTCAATGGCACACATTGTGTGCAACCCTGGAAAGCTATAGCAGGAGATGAGTGGGGACCAGAGAGAGGGGGAGTTCAGCAGACCTGGGAGTTACT